CTGCTTCATCGCTACCCCGGCCGCCAGCCGCGAACTCTGCGTTTTGGTCCTTCCCTGTACGAGGAGAGATGGCGTGTTTCTTCCAGATAGTAATAATGGTCAGCATCGACTGTAGCAAGTGCAGCGTCCAGCCTTCCCGGTAAAGGCGTTCCGGTTGCTCACGATAAAGCTGTTCGTAGTAGCTGAGCAGTACTCGGTCTGGCGCACCGACGTCCAGAAAGAGCTTGAGCACCCAATTGAACGTCGTAGCGTCAATCGCAGCAGCCGACGCGACACTTCCAGCGAACGCTCCCATACCCGATGATCGAATATACCACAGAGAGATCCACTCGAGCACGTCGGCCAGGAAACCCACAGAAAAGACAAATCTCCCACACCAGTCGAGTCGCCGTGTCGGTCGTCGCCTTCCAGGTACAGCGACTTGCCCAGTCTCAAGATCTTGCACTGCATCTGGCCAATCCGTTTCTGCTCTCGAACGAGGAACCGCCTCAGTCCCGCTCGAAGTGTCCAGCAAGCCAGCCTTCTCGCATTGATCCACGGCGCCCAGTGCTACCAATTACAACGCAGTGAGTACGCAAAAGCAGGGCAAAACCTCGCTCTGGACAGAAAAACGAATTAGCAACGGAATTTGAGTTTCGTAAGGGATTGAAGCGGAAGATGCGGGTGCTGCATTCGAGTAGCGACAGCGCACCCAACACAATCTTCTCGTCGCTCTTACGGAGAAATGCACTAGTTGTAGAGGGGATACGTAGAGCAAATGTCATTCAGCTCATCTGCATCGCAGTTTATTGGGCACTTTCGCTGCATCATCTTGTAAGAGAATGAAATGAATATTTGGCAGAGAGGACAAGTTGCAAGAATATCTTAAACAATTCAACTCAACAAGGAATTCAATACGGAACAGAATAAATGGTTTGTCAAACACTTATCTCCTCATTCGACGGGATCTCGACTACAGCGTACTTGGAAGGTAAAACAGATCAACAAGAGTCGTTTTTCGGCCGCGAAGTCCAGGGAGTTTTCTTGGCTCTTGAGGAAACCTAGTGTCATTGTATTCAGGAATTGGACGAAGACGGAGCTGCCGTTCGTCGTAGTCTTCTTGATTGCTCTCTTCATCGTTTTCAAGCATGGAGGCATCCGTCTCAGTGGAAGAATGCATCGGTGAATCGGAGATGTGATCAAAACTCTCGCACCAGTGAGACAGAATATCCTGGGCTATTGTATTGGATGACTCAGAAGACTCTTCAACCGGTGCACCGGCTTGTTCGGAATCAGCCGTGTCAACGTTATCGTCCCGGACAAATAAGCCCTCGTCGTTCGAATCCATGTTTGTAAACTCCAATGAGCGAAAACGAATTGACGTGCCGTGTGAGGGATGTTCTATCGAGCGACGCGAATATCGACGAGATGATGTGACAGAAGGACGTGTAACGGTGGAATGTGGACGGCTTGGCGTGACATTCGACCGGTTTGGTGAAGCGAGTGGGAATCCGGGTGTGTCTGGGGGGCGGAAGGCAGCTTGGGAGAGATGGTTCGGGCTTGTAAATGAGTTTAACGAAGCTGGTAGACGGTTCGGTGTTCTACCTGTTGTTGTTGAGTTTGACGAGTGGTGTGAGACCCAGCAATCGCGTCGAAACTGGCGCTCCACAGACTTAATTATGCGACCTGCGTATTTGTTGCCTTCGCTATCTTCATCAACAACGTCGCCATCGTCCGCGTTCACACTTCCACTGAGTCCTCGGTCTTGGTTATCCAAGCGATCACGTTCCTTTACTGCTTGACTAGCCATAGCCGCCTTGTTGGTCTTGTCCGCTTTCAAACAATTTCGTGCTGGTGTGTGGATACGACCGAGAGCGCTAAAATATCGCTCACGTGTAGCTGTGTTGGCGGCAATTGACAGAACTGCGAGAGCGAGGTCTGGTAAATTGGGACCCGCCGACTTACCTTTAGCATACTTCCAGTACTCGGCAACTGACGGGAACTCATCGAAGCGAAAGTGCTCAGTGCCGATGTACAACGTGCTCTCACACCACCGAACAATATGGTAACGAAGCATTCCATACTCACGTCCAGGGAAAAACCGCTTGAAGTAAAACACTCCAAAATTTGAAATCGAGTCAATCGAGGAAACACCTTTGTTAGGAAGCGCTCTTGCCACTTCGAGGTATCCCGGATGTAAGAACACCGCCAAAAGAGTTAAAGGCTGCTCGCAATCGGCCCAGCGCTCTTCCACGAGCGGGATCAGCTCTTTAGCGTGAGGTCCAGCAACGAAGCTGTCAAAAATATCACGAAAGCACATCACTACGTCGACCAGTGTATTCTCGTCGCGCTGCAAGATGTAGGACGCATTGCATAGTGGCCGAATCGTTCGCTCTGCATCGGCCAAAGTGGACCAGAACACTTCATCAAGAAAAACGAGTACATCTTTTGGTAGATCGTTGGTAAATTGAAACCTCGCTGCAAATTGCCTTAAACCAGTCTTAACACGAAGCAGAGACGCAAAACATGCTTGCATCGAGTTCCACCTTGTATAGCAGAGAGAAAGAAACGCCAGTGGCTTGACCAGCTCATACAACTCCATCATAACAGCGTTTACTCGCTTAAGCCACTTCGACGATGATCGGTTCATTGCGTATACAGCAGCACACGCTTGGTCAGCAACAGATCGAAATCCGGTTCGCCGTAGGATGGCTTTCACCAAATTATTGATATCATGAGCGAAACACTTACCAAAGTGAATAGAGGGCCAGCGAACAGCTAAAATTCTGCGAGCACGCTCACATTGCCCGGCGTTATCGGTAATTATTGCTCCAATTCTCCAGCCTTTTTTCAGTAAAGCTTCGATCAGCGTCTCCATTTGGCGTGCGAGAGCTATGGCGTGATGCTCAGAGCCTACTTCGTGTAGCCCTTCGACAAGAACGAGTCCAAAAAGCGTGAGATGAACTCCGAGAAGATGAGTTCTCGAGATGTTTTGCCAAACGTCACTTAGCAGATTCAAACGCCCACCAGTGTCCTGCTGGCGTTTGCGAAGCTCAGAGCTCTTCGTAGCCACGTATTCACTTGCGTAATCGTTCATTATTCGTCCTCCCATTACACGGCGCGACGGGATATACGCCAAACACGCAGGGTTTAAAAAAAATAACAGTCGTTTGGTTGCTGGGCGCTCAACAAACGAGTCGGGTAACGCATTATCCACCTGAAACTCCAATAAAAAACGCTCAAACTGGCGTCGCTGGGCTGGAGTGTAATTCCGCTTGTACACTCCACTCACGCCACTTTCTGACAGATTTTCAGTAGACGGAGCGGCGGGATGCTGCAAACGACGGGGAGGTGGGGTACGCGGTGGGGATACTTCGAAAGGGCCATTTGGCGTTGGTGTAGGTGGGGCGGGCACGCTTGCAGGATCGCTAATTTTGTGAACAATACGTAGATGATTGTCGAAATTAGTCTGCCGTCCTGTGATAGGTGGTGACCAAGGGGATCCAGGGCCTGGATCAGTGTGGGGGTTTTCGAGCTGGCGTGCTGCCTCGCGTAAATAATGCTTCGCTAGACATCGTTTGCATCTGAAGGGATAGTGGGCCGAGTTCACCTTTTTGCTACCCCACTGCACGAAATGCTTTCGAGCAGGACACCCTGGCCGACCCATCACGACTGCGCTTATAAAACAACAACAACATAATGAGAACCCAGAGTATACACGCTAGTCGTCTTCGTCAACTTCGTACCAGGAGACTTGGCCAGTATCAGGAATGGGTATTCGGACCTTGGAAGATTGAGAACTGGTGAGCTCGCTCAGTTTCGAAAATCTTTCACGTCTTCATTTTAGAGAGGACGTGAAGATCCTGCGTCCATTAGAGGGTCCACTATTTGGAATGTTGAGCTACGCTTGGTTTCTGGTGAGCTGCCGCAAATTAGGTACACTGTACCCTTAAACGAACATTGATAGAGACAATAAAGACGTTCGAAAATGAAAAGACGTCTAAACTGGCGTAAATACACGTTTTTAATAAAAACGTTTTTATTCCCACTGCCAGCACTGCACACAACGCGAAAGACGTCGCGCCCAGTGTGGAGGTAGACAGCATGATGATCCGAGATCAGATGATACGTTATGGTGTGCACTTTGAATCAAAGTTTGATGGATAATCGCGTGCAACAACACAATGATTGGAGCGCCAAAAATAAATGGACTCAACAAGTAGATATTAAAGCTATTTTTTTTTTCAGGATAGTAGTGATCAGTAGAAAACAACGAGCAGTGAATAGCTTAGCCCGTCAAGAAGAAGGTCCCTTAATATTATAACATGCCCTCGTCACTGTCATTTAACCGTATCGACCACTTTCGGCACGAATGGCATCTCATTTCTATAACACCAACGAGGAGACGCATGATTACCACAATGTGTCGATTATTCTCGGGTCATCTTGGACCAAGACTTGGTCATCAGGCGAAAAGAGTGGTGCGTGCCACGTGTAGCTCTTTTTTTTAACTTAACGCGTAGCTTAAGTCTATCTTTGCGATCAAAACGAGGATCTCCTCGCATAATAGAATGTGCTTGTGTCTACAAGATGATCTTGCGGTGCGAAGCTCGTTCGAAAGAGACCAAATGGTACTCGAAGCACTCGGGCGCTGTGGATTTCATCATTAACAGACCGGTACAATAAACACGGGTCCAAAACGTTGACTACACAGTGACACTTCACACGAAGACTCGTGTCTGACCCGCGGTCACATGTCGGATGCGCTACGGGGACATGACAAAGCTTCAATTCACCCGAGGCGACACGGCAACAAGTAGATTCAAGCGTCTGGGCCGGAGGTCCTTTCTCTCTTGTTGTAGCGACTCGCTAAACCTGCTCATTGTCCATTTGACCTCCAGCCAACCAAGGATCTGTACGTATCCACTACAATAGAGTCCATGCTACGGAAGACTGTCACGATTTTGGGCTGCACTCTGGTCTCCACTTCTCCTGCTGTCGTGGCACTGAGTATCCCTTTTATGAACGACACGGAACGCGCTGTAGCGGTGAACGCCACCTCGTACGAGATCTCCAATGTGGCTCGACAGTTCCTCGTTGGAGACACGTACTACCCGTTGAACCCGGGTCCTGCCATGTCGATTCCGTCGCTGTACTACACGACGTTGATGTCTCAAGTGGCAACTTTATCTGCACTGGAAAACCCCAACGCTACGACAATCCAGGCGACGCTGCAAGGGTTAGGACCCTACAAGTCACTAGAGAGCTTCAAGGCCGGCTATGACGTTCTCCAGAGTGCCGGACTGATCGACACGCCTCAAGCCTTCGACAATAGCGACGAAAACTTCGGTGCTATGCGTCTTGGCATTCGAGGCTACAAGATTAAGCTCGTGAATGGATGCGAGTGGTCGGATTTGCTCGACAGTCTCTCAGACTCGTTGGTGCTGGAACAGTGCAATGATCCCACTGTCGACGCTGCCATTTCGAACCACAAGGTCTTCGTGCAAGACTTCTCATCTATGGGACAGTATACGGACTCCAATAAGACCGAATCGAAGTACGCACCCAATGTCGTGGGGTTCTTCTGTAACAACGACGCCAAGGGTCTACTACTGCCTTTGGCTATCAAGATTGTGGATACGGGACTCACGTACACGAAAGAGGACTCTGCGGGAGAGTGGCAGCTCGCCAAGATGGCGCTAGATGCGACGGAGCTCAACTTTCAGCAGATGTTTCACCTGGTGCATACACACATGGTGTCCATCCCGATCCAAGTCGAGATGATGCGTAGTATGGCGACGGAACACCCGATTTACGCACTACTGGACTACCACTTCTTCGGTGATATGGCACTGGAGTATCTAGGCGGAGTGATCCTCTTCTCAGTTGACTCACCGTACGACCAGTCAATGGCGTTGGGTGCCAGTGGATCCATGCGCTACATCTACGATGAGTTCTCGAACACGTCAATGAAAAATGATTTCCCCGCTGAAATCGCAAAGAATGGACTCGAGTATCTACCGAATCACCGCTACGTTAAGTATGGTGCGACGTACTATTCCATCATTAAGACCTTTGTCACGTCCTACGTGAAAGCGTACTACGACTCGGAGGAAGCGATCCAGAGCGATTCAGAGTTACAGACATGGGCAGCTCGTGCGTCGGTTGTGAGGGGAGTCAACGACTTCCCTTCGGCCTTCTCGGGCTACGATGATCTCGTTAAGCTCGTGACTAATCTGGTATTCCAGAGTGAAATCAAACACCATTTCATGAATGGACGAGTGTCGTGGCACATACAAGCGGCACCGTTCAGTGCACCAGCGCTCTACAACACCTCGCTGCCCACTGAAAAGGGTGTGGACGTCGACGTATTCGACTACGTGGTTCCATCAGACGTCTTCCCGTTGTTGTCCTACATGGCGGTGCGGTTCTACCGTCCGATTCCAGCTGCCAAGTCAGTGTTGAGTGCATACACCACATCGCCGTTCTCCGACGAGACCGTTCTGCAGGATGCTATTGCCCAATTTCAACAGAGCATGGCAGCCATGGAAATTATTGTCGACTTGATTGAGGCTGAGGAGAAGTACCCGGATATGTTCGTTAAGCCATCGATGTTGCCTTGGTTCTCGTACATCTAAAGATAATCTGCTTGTGTAGAAAATACAAACACGTACTGGTTAATTTCCTCTTTCTTCCATGTACGGTTATCTTCTTTCTCTTGCTAATTTCGTATCATTTCTAAGCAGATAGAAACAGTGTAGCAAATATTTTCAAAATTCATATAATATTGTCAGAGGTTTCATTTGAGTTTCTAAGAGCGATAATTATGCAAAACATTAAAAATAAATCTTTGATAATTTCATTAACATCCTTGCTTTGAAAGTGTTTGAAATACATGTATCATCAAGGGTGCCAAATCGTATCACAATTACGCTAAGACAGAGAGTATTAAGGTCCATGCTGAATCCTACCAGGAGATAAAAACATCGCAATTTTTGATCATCTATCACGCCATTATAACAGGTTCGACTTCCATAAATGGCATCATTTATTTACTTGGCCTTGCTCTTAAAAATATACGAAACTGGTAAAAGAAAGTAGTTTTAAGTAAAAAGCACACACACGCATTGTCTTCAAAATTAACCGTCTTTTAAGGTTAAAATTTACTTTAATGCTTAAAAGACGGTTAGTTTAGAAAACCATGCGTGATTTTTTTAAAAGTGGCAGAATGATGAGAGCAAGCATTAGCAGATTGTCTTTCTAAACGTACGAGAACCAAGGCAACAGCGATGGCTTCACGAACATGACCGGATACTTTTCTTCAGCCTCAATCGAGTCGACAGTAATTTCCATGGCTGCCATGCTCTGTTGAAATTGGGCAATGGCATCCTGCAGGACGGTCTCATCGGAGAACGGCGACATGGTGTATGCACTCAACACTGACTTGGCAGCTGGGATCGGACGGTAGAACCGCATCGCCATGTAGGACAACAACGGGAAGACGTCCGACGGAATCACGTAGTCGAATACGTCGACGTCCACACCCTTTTCCGTGGGCAGCGGTGTGTTGTAGAGCGCTGTTGCACTGAACGGTGCCGCTTGACTGTGCCACGTCACTCGTCCGTTCATGAAATGGTGCTTGATTTCATTTTGGAATATCAGATACGTCACGAGTTTAACGAGATCATCGTAGCCCGAGAAGGCCGACGGGAAGTCGTTGACTCCCCTCACAACTGACGCACGAGCTGCCCATGTCTGTAACTCTGAATCGTTCTGGATCGCTTCTTCCGAGTCGTAGTACGCTTTCACGTAAGACGTGACAAAGGTCTTAATGACGGAATAGTACGTCGCACCATACTTAACGTAGCGGTGATTCGGTAGATACTCAAGTCCATTCCGTGCAATTTCAGCGGGGAAATCATTTTTCATTGACGTGTTCGAGAACTCATCGTAGATGTAGCGCATGGATCCACTGGCACCGAACGCCATTGACTGGTCGTATGGCGTGTCAACAGAGAGGAGAACCTTTCCGCCTAAATACTCCAGTGCTATATCACCGAAGAAGTGGTAGTTTAGTAGTGCGTAAATCGGGTGTTCCGTCGCCATACTACGCATCATCTCGACTCGGATCGGGATGGACAACGAATGTGTATGCACCAAGGGGAACACCTGCTGGAAGTTGAGCTCCGTCGCATCTAGCGCCATCTTGGCGAGCTGCCACTCTCCCGCAGAGTCCTCTTTCGTGTACGTGAGTCCCGTATCCACAATCTTGATAGCCAAAGGCAGTAGTAAACCCTTGGCGTCGTTGTTACAGAAGAACCCCACGACATTGGGTGCGTACTTCGACTCGGTCTTATTGGAGTCCGTATACTGTCCCATAGATGAGAAGTCTTGTACGAAGACCTTGTGGTTCGAAATGGCAGTGTCGACAGTAGGATCGTTGCACTGTTCCAGCACCAACGAGTCCGAGAGACTGTCGAGCGGATCCGACCACTCGCATCCGTTCACGAGCTTAATCTTGTAGCCTCGAATGCCAAGACGCATAGCACCGAAGTTTTCGTCGCTATTGTCGAAGGCTTGAGGCGTGTCGATCAGTCCAGCACTTTGGACAGCGTCATATCCGGCCTTGAAGCTCTCGAATGACTTGTAAGGTCCTAACTCTTGTAGCGTCGCCAGTACCTTCAAAGCATTGGGGTTTTCCAATGCAGATATAGCTGCCACTTGAGAGGTCAACATCGTGTAGTATAGTGACGGAATCTTCCTTTCCGGACCCGGGTTCAACGGGTAGTACGTGTCTCCAACGAGGAATTGTCGAGGCACATTGGAGATCTCATACGAGGTGGCGTTCACCGTTGCAGCGCGTTCCATGTCGTTCGCCAAAGGGATACTCAGTGCCGTGACAGCAGGAGAGATGAAGACCTGGGTGCAGGCCAACATCGTGAGAGTCTTCCGTAGCATGGGCTCTATAGTAGTGGGTACGAAGCTTGAGTAGAGGTCCTTGGTTGGTTGGAGGTCAAATGGGATATGAGCAGGTTTAGCGAGTCGCTACTGCTAGAAGGCGAGAGGAGCTCCTTGTATGCGCCTGGCCCACATACGCTTATATCTACTAGCTGCTGTGACGCTCCGGATAATATATTGCAGCGTGTGATAGCCTGTCAGACACGAAAGAAAATCAGCAATACTCCGCAGTGATTTATTGCCAGCAAGAGTTTGGCACTTACGCACGCAGACTGAGATGTTATTTGTACATGCTCATTGTCCCAACAAGGACAGGCTATTTATACTTGTGTCGCGAGCCTATTATCATTACTCGATGTCTACCACAGAGGAGACTTCAACTACAAGGAAGTAACCTTTCTTTCTCAGTTTTAAACGTCTAGTAAATAACAGCCACCAACAAGTCTCATAAGCTCCATACTCTACAGTCGACTTCCTTGGTAGCTATGTTTACTAAGTAAACGCTCTGTACCCGTCTATCCATGACGAAATCCACAGCGTCCGAGTTTTTTAGCTCTCTTTGGTTTCTTTCGAGCGAAATTTGCACAGCAAGATCATCTTGAAGACATTTATTTTATGCGAGGAGATCCTCATTTATGCTCGCAAAGATATTGAAGAGAATAATCGATATATCTTTGCGAGCATAAATGAGGATCTCCTCGAGGTAAAAAAATACCTACCAATCGAAATGCAGCATTTTCAAGTTTCAACTTCAACGAGAGCCACTTCATGTAGGCACTTCTTGTTTGCGGTCTTGTTGCTGAGCTTTTGAGTGATGGACAAACACATTCCATTGTTGAAAACGCCTGCGACTCTGAAAGTGAGCACTGTACTGAAAGAGAGCACATCGTCGCTTGCGAAGCCATGAGCGCCATTCTACCCAAGCCGAAATCAAGAGCATTGTATCGTGTTTGACAGCCATTCGCGCTAGTTTCTGGATTAATAGTGAAGTGTTAAAACCATGAATTAAGAGCATCAAATCAGTTATGAGCATACCGTCGCTGCTTGACGGCTATGACGGACGATCACGGTAGCTTCAGCTTGCTCGCCAAGCTGCTGATAGCGAACAATGCGCGTCCATCGCAACAGCGCACACCTCTGACGTTGCCGCTGATTCACAGCAAGCAATCGGTCAAGGACCCTCGACGAATAGCTGCAGAATGCTCGCCACGCTTTGAAGGCGCATGCGACTTGACTCCACAACGTATTAAGCATTAACTTGCGGAGCAGGTATCTGTGACGATAACACAAAGACCTATCGTCCAAGACCATGTTCTTCCTTTTACTAAGCTACGTCGCAACCGACGAGGATGCTTATTTTTTTATTGAGACGTGTCTCTTCTAAGCTCTGTCTTTAAAACTTGGACACGTCACGACCGACGAGAATAGCCTTGAGCCAGTCAAGAGGCACCTGCAAACGTAGTCGCCAGCTTCCCAGCTTGGTCAGATACGCACTACGCCAGAGGAACCAGGCCTTCCAGCCACTAAGCGTGATCGTGTCGTCGTCACGAGGGTGGGCCTCAAATAGACCCTCGTACGACCCAAGATACGCCATCATGCCCTTGCTCTGGAACGCGTACGGCTTGGCCGGCGCCAGATTCTTGCCGCGGAATAACGAAGTAAGGTAGTTCGCTTGACTCTGCGCCTTCTGAGCAGTAGCAGGCAACGGGTAGTCCAGGATCTCTGCACAGTCACCGATAGAGAAGACGTTCGAGCGGCGAGGCATCCCCCACGGAGCCTTCTCTTCGACCTCCGCAGCACCCAGTACCTGGCAGTACTGATTGGTTAGGATGTTGCCACGTTTGCTCTTCTCGAACACCGTCAACGACTTGGTAAGCTCATTCGGACCCACTCCAGCAGTCCACACGACGAGTCCAGCGGGGATCTTCTCGCCACCTTCAACCGTGACACCCTCCGCTGTGACTTCAATGCAGTTTTTCTTCACGATCTTCATCGTGTTGCGTTTCTGGATCTTACGCAGTGCCACAGCACGCAGATGCGTGTCAAAGCCATTGAGGATCTCGCCAGAGTCCACTAGCGTCACACCCAAGTGCTTAGATGTCTGTGGGTACTTGTGTACCAGATCCTGGAGCACAAGATCGTACAATTCGGCACAGAATTCAATGCCCGTGGGGCCGCCACCTACTACAACGAAATGTAGCAGACGCTGTTTCTCCTCTGGCGTCATACCCGGTTGCGTGGCTGCTTCGAAGTTTTCGAGAATGCGGTTACGGATCCTCTGTGCATGTTGAATCTCCTTCAAGAAGAAGGCGTGTTCCTCCACTCCAGGGAGTCCGAAGGTCAGCGGACGAGAACCACAGGCCAACACCAGCGCGTCGTAGTGGATATCGTACTTGCGGTTACGAGTCTCAGCGCTGATAGCTGACTCGACATTCAGGAGTTTCTTCTCCGGGTTTACGTTCTGCACGTCGGCAAAATGGAAGTCGTGCTCGTGGCTAAACATACTGTCACGCAGCGGCTCAATGATGGAGCGGAACTCTAAAGTGCCCACTGTTGTGCTGGCCAAAAGCGGGGTATATAGGAAGTGCTACAGTAAAAGACTGTTCAGTTAGCTGTAAATTACGAGTTGACCAGGTGAAACGGTGGACGTACGTTACGTTTGGAGACGACGACGAGGTCCACGGGGCGACCCACGGTCTCCTCAATGTCCACGAGGTGCTTGCGGCACTGGGTGAACATTTGATAGCCAGCCCAGCCTGTGCCCACGATGACCAGCTGGAAGTTCGTGGGTTGCTGAGTTTCGTCCTGACGGGCTTCCAGGGACGAAGACGCGCGCTTCCACCACGTCGTGCTGGTGCTGCGTGCCGTCTTGGACACGATGGCGAGTTGGCGGGTCCACATTTATGCTTGGGCTTGCGGAATATCTGAGAGAAGCTAAAGTGACGTCGCTGGGACGAGTCATGACTGTCGCGTCGAGACTTGCCCAACGTGGGGTGATGGATGCGTGGATGATGCCACCCATTGGCTGGTTTTACAAATGATTCGTGTCGACGATAATCAAGGATTATGGACAATACACTGAGAAAAATGTGATCTTAGTTTTTTTACTTTCCGTAATTTACCAGCGAGGAACCTCTTTTACGACGCAACCAGGTGGTAGCTACTACATATATACCGGTAATACCGGTCCGGTATTGATAAAAGCAAAAGAACATTACGCTTTCCCGGTAATGACTTTTGGGGAATAGAAAAAAGTAGGCACAAGAAGTCATTTCCTTGTTCAAGTCTCGGAAAAGCTGGTGCAATGACTTCTTAGCCTCATCCTTGTTAAGTGCATATCCTCTTGCACAGGTTTCCTTTCGGTCATGCTGCTTGGAAGGGTTTTCTTTGTATTATGCTGTTCGAGAGGTTTCCTCTCGACTGTCGCCGTGAAGCTTGTCACTCTTGCTTCGTGCGCGCGCCGCTCTTCACCAGCGCTGTTGCCCAGCCACGATGTCAGGAACACCATCACAGCAAGACGGGTATGAAGAAGAGAATTCAAGATTTCCAGCAGATACCAACCCCGTGACGAAGCCGCCACCGTCGCTGGGGTTGCCGACCTACTACACGCAGTACGAAGAGGACCGCTCTAGCGCAAGTGATCAAGAGCCTATTAATCAAGAGCCCCCGCGCAAAAGAGCAAGGCGCGTTGCTCAAAGAACGACCTCTACGACAGCAGGAGAAGACACTTCCACCAAGTCCAAGCCTGCTGCATCCAAGGAAAAGGCTCGTAAGTCTGCCAAGCCTGTGGACAATGGAACAGCAGCCACGGCAACAACTCGCAGGACACCTAAGCCCAAGATGGCGGGTATGCGCAAGTCCTCTGCAATCAGCGTGGACAAGGTCGTAACCGAGGCTTTGCAAACCACGACGCAGTCCACCTCAAAACCAAAAGCAAAACGCGCTAGCAAAAACACGAAGGGTGGTCCGAAGGGCAAGGAGAAAGCAGATACGACGGATGTAAAGACGATGAAGTGGACCGTTCAATTGACGGCTTTGGCGATTGAAGCTCGTTTTCAAAACAAGCAGATCCTAAAAAAGTTTGCTACAAAGAACTCGAACACGAAAACCCAACGTGCAATGTGGGAGGACACTATCACTGTATTTCAGCAGCGCGCCCTGTTGGAGCACGCGTGGGAAGACGATGAACCGCGCAGTGTGACTGTCAAGCAACTCAAGAACAAGCTGGATGCTGTTCGAGCCGCATACAAGGCAAAGAGAGGCCGTTTGCTTGCCACAGGAAATCACTTTCCTAATTCCGACTCCAGTAGTGACGAGGGAGATGACACCTTGCGCAAATATCCAGAAATGCCTGTGATTTTTTTCGTCGATGAGCCTGACAAATCTTCAGATAGTAGTGCTGCCGACAGCGGCGGGGGGCGCAAGCTGACGTGCAAACCCACGTCAGTGCATCCGACCTATCTGAAGGAACTTGGCGCAGATCTCGCAGCACGATGGCCGCTGCTGTGTGATGTGTTTTCGCGTCGACCTGGCTGTACGGGTGAAGCTTTCATGGAAACTGGCGTCCCAGCTAGAGTTAGCCTACCTACGAGCGAAAGTGATGACGATGATCACGCTGGAGATAATAACGTGGACTCTGATCCATGTGAATCACCAACCGAGGCTCGTGAAAAAGCAAAGGCAGCAGCTAAAGCAAAGAAACAACGTGACAAGCAATCTAACAACGTTTCCACAAAACGACCTGCAGATGTAATGAGTGATACACTCAAGACGGGGTTTGAAGCAATTGAACGTGTTTTTTCGGCTCGTCACCAGCCGTCTCAAGACAATGGGGAGATATCTCGGCTGGTTCAAAAGCTGACGTCGTCGATTGATGAGTCGAACGCTAAGCAACAAGCCAACAGCGATGCACTGTTGACCAGTATTGCGGGTTTGCACCAAGTTACGGCTGGCTTCTACAGCGAAATGGCGAAGTGGATGCAGAATCAATCAAACGGTAGCTAGTGCTGCTCACGCTCGAGTACAACACTTGCTACACTCTCATTTATTCGTGATCGTTTTCGTAAAACCGATCTGCGTATGCATTTCTCTTTGCGAGTGCTAAATCAATTTCAGCTTGCGTTCGATCCCAACCCTCGTTAAACGCGTGCATCACGCGTCGTGAATCCTGTCTATCTTTTGCTTTCTGGGCCGCATTACGCTTCACTTTAAACTGCTTGTCTCCAATGTCGATCAGCAAATTGTGGAGAACAGCAGCGGCAGTAATCATGCGAGCGTTGGTGTTGTGTTTCTTTCGATCCGTCACTCCATGCAGAGTCTTGAAGCGGGGCTTTAGTTTCCCAAACACACACTCGACTAGAATGCGCGTTTGCGAGAGATGATAATTGTAGCTACCACAAAACAGACAATAGCAAGAAACAAATCAGTATTTCGCGTAAAATGTGCGATACAATTATCCTTACCAGCGCTGCTTTGCCGTCAGCCTCTTGCCACCCCGCTCATCGAATGGCACCATAAGAAAAGGCCACGGTTTAAAGCCTGCATCACCCAACCAGTTGATACCTGGAGGACACAGCTCTCGAGCATGAGCACCAAGAACAGCGGACTGATTCCACATTGACTGGTCCGAATTGCTGCCACTAAAAACACCTAAGTAGCGAAATTTGTAGCGGTAGTCGATCGCAGCCAAACAATTGTAGGAAGGTTTGCCACTCTTGTCGTAGAATCCCTGCATCACGTACGATCGTTTTAAAACATGAACATGATGGAAACGTAGCATCGTACATACCTGAAAGTCTTTCGGTCGTTGAGTGCGTACAAGAGTCCCGTCGAAAATGCAAGCTACATCAGGAAAATCAGCATTACGTGCAGCAAAACCATCGGCCAACTCACTCCATTCATCGCTCGCATCTGACGGAGGAAAATATATCACGTCGTCTTTCATTTCGAGCAGAAGTTCTTCCAGTTTAGCAATATACCGACTAGCAACAGGGCGAGACATTCCGAGCTGCGCTGCAGCCCCACCAATCCCATCCCCATCTTGACCACATCCGTTACCATAGTATGTCAGTAGCACGGCAAGCCCAAAGTCAAAAGCATACTGCGCGTTTTTTCCGGGAAGGCCATACTTCTTGTAGTACAGCGGCTCCAAAAATGCACAAAGAGCGTCGAACGACACTGGTGAATAACGCAGAGTTTCGCGATATGCTTTTGGTGATCGTTGAGCCTTCAACTTTGGGTAAAAATCTGAGCGAACCGTGATTTTCTCTCCGAAGGGCGCGCGAAGAGATCTCCAGTCCATCGAGCCGAGTACAGCTCCCAGCATGATGAAAAGCAAGATGATCATATATCTCCATGGCTTCAACGTCTGCATCAGCTGCAGCGTACTGCTGCACTTCCGTGACTGTAGCTTGTGTCTGGGACAACGGATGGCGCTGATCGGACGCGTCTTCGTCTTGAGAAGCTACATCGGCATCGATGGTTGCCTCGGCAAAGTCCTCCGCAACCCCCACCACACCCAGCAAGCCGCTGTCGACGTCCATGGCGTCGCTACCGACGCAGGAACCCCTCGCGTCGCCGTCGCCGTCGCCGCTCTCCATGCTGAGTAGTGCTTCAGCTCTGCCGCCCCCCCCCCCCAAAAAAAAAGTCGCTGCAAGCCCAGAAAGTTGGTCGCTGTCCTACTTTTATTTGCCGATTTAAAAGTTGTCAAAATGGCTACCAACTTTTTTTCGACGGTCTTGGAAACGCAAAAAGTCGTTGTGAAAAAGTCATCACTTTTCTATTTGGACAACGCTCTTACCTCAGCGACGAGGCTAGGTAGCTCCAGAATCCGCGGCCTCGAGAAAAAATGGTGAAGCTTATCTGTGCGATCGTTGGCGTGGCAGGCAGCGCGTTCCCTGTGGACATTGACGCGGGTCAGCTGGTGGGAGACTTGAAGGACATGTTAAAGGCGAAGATAATGTACCAGCTTCGTGCGGACGAGCTGCAGCTCTCTCTGGCGAAGAAGGGCGCAGGATGGCTACCAAGTGCGGAACTTCGTGCGATACGAAAAGAAGAGGATGTACCGGGTTTCAAAAGGGTATCGGTAGTTGATACAGAGGATGAGCAGTATTCGACCTATTCGATTCGCGATGTGTTGGATGCGAATGGAATGGCACCGCCTCAAACGCGGCAAATTCACGTGCTGGTGGTGGTTCCGAAGCAAGGAACCTCGGTTCCAACTGTCTCCCAAGACGGTGTTTTCGACCACTGCAATGACCCATTCTTCTCACAATTCTCCACTGTTGACCAAGATGGTGATTGGCTCAATTTTTCGTCGTTGCTGCCGCTAACGAGACGTCAGAAGCTCTACATTCGCTCTTCGTACAGAGTGATCGCCGACCAAGCACTGTTGAATCCAGATCGGAACATGGTCAAGTATGCTGTCGTCACGGGTACGCCTGGGGTTGGCAAGTCGGTATGTCATTTGGAGATTGATCAAGGACAAGAAGCGAGTGCTGCTTTTCGACAGCGAGGGGAATTTCTACTTTGATGGAATGACCATGCTCACGTGCAAGGCACTTCCTGACAAGTCCAATATACAGTTCTGGTCAAATGACTTGTGGTGCCTTGTTGATTCGCGGGACCCAACACGTATTCCAGGACTCCCCTACCTGCGATGTTCAGTACTTCTCGCAAGCTCACCGCGGTGGGATTACATTGGTGAATTCAAAAAGCTTGCTCCTACTCCAGATGTTTTCTTCATGCCATTGTGGTCTAAAGAAGAACTGGTGACAGTTGCTCCTATGTATCCACATGCAGCAGTTGCTTGGCAGAATCGATTTGAGTGTCTAGGTGGTGTACCTCGCCTGGTGTTGCAAGACATTGGAACAGACCCACAAACTTTGTTGATGTCCGCGTGCAGTACTTGCTCTCTGGATGATTGCATTATGTTGGGTGTCCATTTATTCTGATCAACTCGAAGACTAAGATCGCTCAGATTTTGATTCACATCGGTAGCCAGGAACCATATCGAGGGTACAAAGTTGCCTATGCATCAGAATTGGCAATTCAAGTGATTGTTCGATTAAAGTGGCGATCGGATCGCGCGAAAATGCAAAACCTTCTCGGTTCGTGCGATGGAAACCCACTAGCTCAATCGCTATGCGGATATGTCTTTGAGCGTCACTCCATGGATCTGTTACAGCAGGGTGGGACTTTCGTGTGTCGAAAGCTTTTGTCTGGCGCTGACATGCGAAAGCGCGACACGATTAAACGCAAACGAGGCAACCTAGATAATGAAGATGAAGAAACTATCGACATCCCACCGTCATCGAAGCCTCGGTAAATAGTGGAGCGGGTGGAAGTGGGTCAACTTGCAAATCAGCTGTACGTGCCTCGGACATCGAATTATACTGCTATTGATGCGTGGATGCCGCAGTTCAGTGGATTCCAGATGACTGTGGGAAAAACGCATGACATCAAGGGCGGGGCGGCAGATGATTCGGCGAAATTGGGTCGGGATGGCAACCGACTCTTCTTTTTGCGTTCGCCACTCTACTACGAAACTTTCACCAAGAAGACACCGCAAACCATCGAGCAGGTTGCAATCCTTGTTCCGTATCCCGATCAGGTGCAATGAATTAAGGTTTCAACGCTTCAACTTCTCTTTCATGGCATTACTTCGTGATCTATTCGTCATCGGAATAACGCACAATTAATTTTGATCCTGATAAATATAAAGTTAGTAATATACAAAGATGGCGTACTCACTTCAGCAATACCTCGCTACAAAAGAGCGGATCAAGGCAGTGCAGAAGCGCTACTATCAGCGCACACGTGAAGCACGCTTGTCGTCTACGACGACAAGAATAGAGACCTCGCCGAAAGCCGAACTTAACGACACAGAAAGCGAACTTAACTAACTATTTAATTTTTTCCCCTGATAAAAAGTCAAACCAATGACTGACGCGCTTCAAATGACTAGCTTAAACCCTCCGAAAAGTATAAACCAAATTTTTAAATTAATTAATTTCAGAATCTTTTGTAGATGACAAAGATATAAAGTCGATCTTGATACAAGATCAAAATAATGTAAAGTCATACTACCTCCGCTCGAAAAACAAATCACCTTTCCAAAAAAATACACACTGCTTAAACTCCATACCCTTGTAAAAAAAATTAAGCAGTGTACCATGAAGCTAAACTAATTCCTGCGGTATCCCGTCTAAGGCGATATATCCCCTGCAAAAATGTTAGTTGTTTGAATCTCCCGCCCATTTGCCATCGCTCACTTTGCAAGATCAGCAGGGACATAAGGAGCGACGGCGCTGGCGTTCGTGTGGTGGTGAACGGAGGCCCCCTACAGCGAAGGGTGGAATATGTGAGGACAGGTGAGTCAGCAAGGGCATCGCTTTCACTATTAATGATCCTAATCGGGTGTCCGTGGTGACAGACGTTGGTGTGCGCTGGACTGACTGCTGAAGGCAACTTTAGCTGCTAGACAACTTGCAGTGGCCCCCGATTATTGCCTACGATAGTGAAGCTATGGACACCTAACCTATCCAGTTTGCTGATGCCGGTTAAGGCCTGTGTATCGAGCAGATGAAGACGACGAAGTCTTCACGCTTCGCTCGACGACATCCGCTGTCGTGGTAACACATGCTCGAGGCAAACGTCTCTGCAGTGGCTCACGAATCTAGTAGTTTTTACGGGCTTGCTGCTGAAATGGCGAACAAGAGCGTCTGCAGCTACACTGATGTGATGGAACAAGCACACCCGCAGTTGAGCAATTTTGACTTAAAAGCCGGGGTCTATTATCGTTTCAATTGTCAAAGCTCGTGTTTTGCTTGGCACAGCTAAGTTGACAGCACAGTACCCACTGGGCATGCACCTGTTTTACAGAAGGATCAGTAGCCCTTCGCAAGCTTTGTAATCATGAAAAAGAACGAGGCAGAGCGCTGTGATTTTTATTTGAAAGGTGATTCCTTTTCCGAGCTGAGGTAGTATCTACGAAGAAGAATATAGCCAAGCATAATATATCCGAAAGATTCGGGTTCCAGGGCATATTTTGAGGAGGCATTTAGGCCATGAAGGAGATAGAGTTAGGAAGCATGAAATACACCGTTTGAAAGAAGAAGGAAAACGAAGTTTGCACATGCATGCCCTAAGCGGACCGACTGTCTTACACGGTCATGACGTCCACTTGGACAACTTGAAAAGACGATGGTTCAGGTCCCGGGACACGGAGCTTAATGACGTATTTTCGTACGCAACGCTTCAGAAAACGTGGGTCTTCCACGCGCATCAGCTTGCGTTCGTCTGTTTCTCTGCGCTTCAACTCCGCTTGCTCACGCTTTTCAGCCAGCACTTTTTCCCGTTTCATTCGCTGTTGAGCAGCTTCATCTTTCGCCGCCTTAACCAAGACGGCTCGGCGTTCTCTCTCAATCTGGCGGCGTTTTTTATCCTCTTGTTTCAGCCGCGCCATCTCCTCTTGCTTTGCAACCATTGTCGAGATATCGTCAGCTGTCATCAGGGTGCCGCCAGGAACAAACTTTTCAGGCTCTGATCTCTCCTTTCGCTTTCGAGTTTGTGCTTTGAGTTCATCTATCCCACTGGTTTATAGAGAGCACTCGAGTCTCATCACGATCCAAACCGCTTCGCTCCAACCACCTCCTTGTCCATGGTGTAACGAAGGTGTTTGCTGAGAGCAGTACTTTGTTTTCTCGCTGACTTGGTTTGTCGCCAATGATGCCGTCTATCATTTTGTCACGACGGAGGAAATACAGACCTGTCCGCTCGTTGCCGTCAACAATGTATGCCCTGGTCAAACACCTAGTCAAGGCCTTCGAAGCCACAGCCACCATGTCACTTCGTTCGACTATGCGCCGCTCTTTTACTTGAAAAAGTCCCTTTTCGTCCTCAGCAATGCGCTTGAAATGATGGAATACCGATACATCCAGAGGTTGGAGAAAATGCGAAGTGTGAGCGGGTAGGGCGTAGAGAAGAATACTATGTTTCCGAGCGTATTGAAGTGAACTGCTCGAAAAATGATATTTGTATCCATCTGCCACCACTAGTACGGGTCTCTCTGGCGGAATAATCTGTACGAACCGCTCGAAGTACTGGATAAACAGCTTGGTCGTGAGAAATGCTGATTCACTTGCGGCAAACATCGATCCGTCCAAACCTCCTGCTGTATCACGTACTCTGATTTGTTTGCCAGGCAAAATGAAAAATGGAGGCACAAATCCGCCATCAGCGTTAACGCACACTAAAGCCGACACGTTCGTGCGATCATTGGACTCTTGAACATTTGCAGGCATGTTTTTTAGTAGCTAGCACTTTCTTCTTACTGTTGCGCGTTTGGGGGCACATGCCGCTTTCGTCAAGATTCCAAACGCGTGAAAGCAACAGAAGATAGCACTTCTTTGAAATTGTTGTAATGCCTATCCACGTTTTCCACAGTAGACGCTTTAGCCCGACAAACCTCCAACGACTGCGCACGTCTCGAACTGAAATCAACACTGTGGTTGACAACAAATCGCTGGATGTAGCTCTTAGACGGAAAATTTTCGGGAATTTCTCGACTGTACGAGCTGTTTTCGACGACATTGCGTATGAACAATCCAAGCTCGTCTTTTGTAAAGCATAACCCGTGTCTCGTACGCATAGTCACCGCTTTCACAACGCCGCTAACCTCACCAGGAGACAAAATTGGCTCTGGACCATTCCGAGAGGTCAGCTCTACTTGACCCGATGTACGGCGATGGATTTTGCTTTTGCTGACACCAAACCTCGTAGAGGCTGATCGTAGCGATAGCTGCTTCTCATTGACAGCGTCTACAGCTTGCCTGAGCCTCTCCATTTCGTCAGGCAAGTCATTTTCCTCTTCCATCCCGCACGACTTTTGGGGTCTGGTCGCACTTTGGCTTGGATCTTTGCAGTGAATGGCCGACTGCCAGCAAGTTGCACACTGATCGAAGGCTCTTTTAACTGGCTAAAATGATGTGTTGATGTTTCAGGAGAAACCTAGCTGAAGCGGGCAACAAACCTTGTTGGATATCCCCTGTCCCGGAACTTGGTGTCCCGGAACTTGGATCTTACGGATACTTGAGACTGCGTCAAACAAAATGATACTTACGAACCATTTAGAGCTATCGAAATAATCGAGCTTAAACCTGGCCAATTGATTTTCGCACTTAACCGAAACCGCGACATTTATTGTAAACTTCCATTGAAAAAACTGTAAAACTACCCTTATTCAATTGATTCTAACAAGGGCTTTTAAATAACACTTGAATCTCTAAAATCTAAAAATATTGAGCTCACAACATCCTAAATGTATCGTCATTTCGAGGGCCCATAAATGGAGATAATATTTTTGAGCGACCACAACTTCTTTCGTTTTAAGCATTCTGTAGCTTGTAAGGGCCCAAGAGATAGAGGAGACGTCCCGCTTTCGTTTAAAGTGCTTTAATCGCGATTCGTACTTAGGCTCGTAAGTATCGTTTGGTTTTGCGTGGTCTCATATATAGGCAACATATTTGCATACGCGCTCGAAGGATTAAAGAGATTAAAAATTCAAGCTATCAAATGGGGTAGTAGCTACCGTGCTAAGGTGCGTGGTAGAGCTAGTAAAATGGTTTATGTAAGTAGCGTATCGCGCCCAATCAACCAGCGATTGGTAGCTAAGCAGTAGAATGTTTCAACTGAAACCCTTGAGAAACACTTGTCGCCTGACTACAAGGCTGATCCTAAGTACCGTTTTTACGATGGTAATCACATGGAATCACACCTACATGAGGGTGATGTGGCTACTGATTTCTACGATAAGCTCGAGAACGCTCTTTCGACTCAGGTAAGTGCGTTCAAGGTAAATGTTGCTCTCGGGTACGAACTTGTGAGCGAGACTGATCCTGATGACACTTGCTACTTCTACCCGAATCTCGCAAGCACTTGTGTATTCAATAAGCCTGTCGCAATCAACAACAATGCAAAGAAGATAATTTCGGAAACCCGGTCTATGGAGTTGGCTGAACAAACTGAACTACCCCAGCTCAGGATATCAGCTCAAGGCGATTACTGCATTCAAAATTTTCATCAATCATCGCGACCATGCTCTGGGGGATAGCAAAGCTGTCATCCCTAAGATTATTCGCGAAAACAAGCATGTAATCAAATTCCCTAAGACCAACAACAAGTGCGTCTTCCACTGCATCGTCTGGCACACATTCCAGAGCGCTAAGAAGATCCTCGCAGAATTCAGGCTCTGGTGAAGGAGGCATTCAAGCGCTACTGCTCTTCCAAGAGGATTAAATATACGTTGAGTCTGTTTAGAAGCTTCAAGTCTATTGACCTACTACAGCTCCATGAGGTTGAGGACTACTTCCAGCTTGGTATTAATGTATATATCATGGATGTGGCTTTCTGAAATGTAGAATGCATTCGTAGATCGGACAAGGGGTATGAAGCTAAGGATATTCTATCACACGAGAATCACGCTCTCTACATCAAGAGCATCAATATACTTCAGTCTAAGTATCAGTGTCCTAAGTGTGAAATGATTTTTGTGAGCGGTGAAAGACTTGAAAATCACAGGAAAATCAGTGCGAGCTTCTGAATATTGAGAGCTTCCCCGCTGAGTCAACTATCTACAAGCCAGCTCATAACGTCATTCGATCACTGCTTACAAAGTATTCCATAAAGGATACTCACCAGTACATCGCTCACTTCATCGTTTATGGCTTTGAGGCAATCCTTAAGCCTACCGTGACTCAACACGGGGAGAATACTGTCTTCACGAACGAGCATCTGTATCCGTAGCTGATAGCTTAACCGAGGAGGTGCGCTGTTTTGTAAATAGCGATTTAAAGATGTTACTAGCAGATATGTTTAAATACATTGGTGATGTATCAGTGAAAATACAACAGTACAATTGCAAAAAATATAAGTCGCTTCTACAAAAAATCATCAATGCACATTGTCTGACAGGTACGGAATTTCCAGTCGCTAATTCTGATAAAAGTACAAGATGTCTGATGTGGAGAGCTGGATTAAGGGAGAGAAGTATGATAACTTCTTCCACTTCCATAGTAGTCTTAGTTTTGGTAAGCAAAGGTCTGATTATGGGAAAGTGAAAGAGCAGCTTGCCCAGGTACCGGTATTCGGCTTTAATTCTGGTCGATACGATTTAAACTTGATTAAGAGGGATTTGTTTGCCGTAATTGGTACCGACAACATCAAATCTGTCATCAAGAACCCCAGCTACATGTGCATGGCTACATCGGACATGAAAAGTCTGGATATCACCAACTATGCACTAGCTGGTACCAACTACAACAAGTATTATACAACATATCTCGGTGGCTGCAAATGCTGCCTTAGCATGCTGACGCTTGTAGCCAGCCATGCGCTTAACTGGAAATTGGAATGCGATAGCAGGCTTCTTATCCGGATATTGAAGATTGTTTAAGCAGGTCTGATACATGACCTTCTCTGAAAGACCAGGTAGAGACACTCCATCCGCGAACATATCCAGATAGAAGCGCTTAAGTAGCTCTTGCTGAGCCTTGATAGCTTTGGTGAAAGGGACTACGTCGATATTATTGTACCGGATCAGTAGGTTTTTGATCGATTTCATCTCGCAGTAATCCCACACGAACGTCACACGTTCGTAGTCATCGCTGGTGATGCTTGTTCCACGGATCTTGCTATCAAAAGCTGACTTAGGCGGGATAGTCGTCTGGCTTAGCACATTGAGCGCGGTGATGTACTCGTAAGGGAAAAGACCCATACCAAGACCACAGACACATCTAATTTTGTCATCGCACTCGCGCACGTGAATACATTGCTGCAAAAGCAAAAGTATCTGTGTGGTCTATGCTTGCTGATACCGCTTCAGCGGATCGTATGAGCAATAATCTTGGCCACATCGACGGTAATATCTTAGTCAGCTGTGCTAAGTGCAACACCGCTCGAAAAGACATGTCGCTTACAAGGGTTTCGGTATAAGAAGTTGCTTGAGCTCGACTCGGATAGACTGGTCTACTCGATCGACAAGGAGGAGAAGAATCGACTCTAAGATGAAGGCCAATATTGCTGGAGGTACATCTATTATCTTCAATCGCTACGCTAAGCGTAATGAAACGAAGATTCGCAGTGGTAAGGTTTTTAAGAAAATTATCGGATACGACGCTAACTCTTTATACCTATGGGCCCTTGGTAACGAGATGTCACGCGGTCGATTAACTACGGTTGAAGCGTATAATGGTATCATCGATGACATCAAAGAAGACAAGATCTTTGACTCTCTTGAGTGTGATATTCGAACACCAGAACACCTCAAACAGTACTTTGGTGAGATGACTCCAATTTTCAAGAATGTACTGATCAACTGTACGAATGAGAGCGTCATTGGTAAGCATATCCTCGATCACAATGAGGCGCGCAAGCAAAGCCGAGCAAAACCAGCTCGCAAGTTGATTGGTAGCTACTTTGGTGAAAAGATTCTCATCTACACTCCTTTGCTGAAGTGGTACCTTTCTCATGGTATGGAGATAACCGATACTTACTGCTTTGTCAAGGCCAGCTCTCACAAGGCTTTTGCCCCCTTTATGGAGGCTATATCAAATGCTCGACGAGAGGGCGATGTTGATTAGTCGAAGGCGATGATTGCTGAGATGATGAAACTGGTAGGCAACAGTGTTTTTGGTCGATCTGGAATGGACATAAGCAAGCACAAAGAGGTTAAGTATGAGTCGAGCGGCAAAGCTATTAAGAACAATATCGAACACTTTACGTTTCATGGTATCGAGGAGCTTAATAATGCGTGTGAAATCTCGATGAAGAATCGTCGACTCAACAATAAGAACCCAATCCATTTGTCGATTGCTATCTATCAGCTTGCTAAGCTACGCATGCTTCAGTTTTACTATGACCGCATAGATTTCTTCTTCGATCGCTCTGGCATCCAGTATCAGAGATGGACACTGATTCCGCTTATATCGCTTTCAGCTGTGATAATCCGTTTCAAAGCTGCATCAAGCCTGGGCTACGAATCCACTTCAACGAGCACAAATGCGATTGATTCCCACGCGACTACAACGCTGAGGTAGCTAAGTTTGATCGCGGTACTCCTAGTTTGTTCAAAGATGAATGGTCAGGTGATGCTATGGTCTCACTATCGAGTAAGAACTATATTTGCTACCTACTTCCTCTGAGCTTCGCCATACTTCAAGTATGCAGCTTCTGAGTCATCGTGGAGCTTTTGCAAAGTGTCATCGCGATATTGAGTACCCTCAGAGGATTTGATTCGATCTGATGCATCTGTCGATTTTGTATTGTCGAGGGATGGCTCGATTTAATAGCTGAAGATTAGCTTCGAGATTTGTTTTTAATGGTGGATCATCATTCTCATAAACATATCGCTCTATGTCCTCAAACCTGGTCATCAGGCTATTAAAAGTGTCCATCCATCTAATGGTTCTCATAAGATCGCTGAAACATTGCCAGGAACCGCTTTGTTCTGGTGGTTTCTAATGTAAAATGGTTTTGCTGCGGTAGGCACACTAAAGTAGTAATTTTGATTAGCATTCACACCACTTTTGGTATCTTCTATTGGTTTCAGTCTAAAAGGAATTCGAATTCCTTTAGATACTATTTTGCTGTAGTAGTACATGAGAATCTTATTCGCATCGTTATCGACATTAGTTAGAGAGCTACTAGCCGAGCGCCGCCGCTACGCGGCGGTAATTAAGGTTGCGCTCTACTTGCTTTGACCTTCCCGCCTCCGCTACGCTTCGGCGGGATAACTATTGAAATAACGCTGAACATATGTGTATCTAAATCGATTCTTTTTAATTTCATTAATTTGGGTCAGCATGATGCTTACCGGATTTAAGAAATAATTATTCTAATGATCTTGAATCAAGATTCTTGATGCAATCTCT